GAATTTGCACATACCGGATAGCCTAAATTAGGGGTTGGTTCCCCACGATGCAGATCTTTCACCCAGGCTTGTAAGGGAAGCGTACAGCTTGAGTTCTCCAGATGAACATTCCCTAGTTGCCAAATGGAATTAACACATGCAAACATATTCTATACCTTGCTGTACCAGGAAGTGCTCCCCACCTATGACCCAGCTGCATTTGCCACTGCCCTTCATTGCCTGAAGCCAGTCTGAAACATCACAGAAACATTTAAATTTTGAAAACTGCTGGTGGCTTATTTGTGTGGGAGGGCTGTGTAAGCATCCTCTCAGGTGCCTCAGAAGCCAAGTTGGCATGAATGCCAAATACCTGATCTGTTGCTCTGTCTGACACCTGACTCCTCAGAGTTCCTGTCATGTGGACATGCGGACAGAATCCTCCATGCATAGAGATGAGCAGGCCCTGTTTAATTAATGCATATATAGCAGTTCGAAAGCACGTCAAAGTGCAAGTAGATAAATAGGTACCACTCCGGCGGGAAGGTAAACGGTGTTTCCGTGCGCTGCTCTGGTTTGCCAGAAGCGGTTTAGTAATGCTTCCACATGAACCGGAAGCTGTACACCGGCTTCCTCAGCCAATAAAGCAAGATGAGCGCCGCAACCCCAGAGTTGGTCACGAATGGACCTAATGGTCAGGGGTCCCTTTATCTTTTTATTGAGGGACAGAGACTGGTCAGGAGATAATGCCTGAAAAGAATGTGATTATTATTATTATTATTCATTATGCAAAGTGCCTGATGATCCTTACATCCTTGATAAGGCTATTCACATCAACAGTTTGCAGGTGGAAAATTGAGGCCAAGAGTTAAGTTTCATTAGCAGGTTGTCTGTGGTTAACCTAAAATGTAAACACACTGGCAAAACTTTAAAAAAACCCCACATACTTTTTGTTAGGTTGGTTCCTAAGGTAAATCACTGAGGGAGGTAAATCACTGGACGTTATTTTGGTAGGCTACAAATAACCTTAACCAAAAATGGGAAGGGATTCTTTTCCCTCCACTTCGGAGGGACAGGGAGACAGAGATGTAAAACTAGCCTGTAAATTACCATTTGCTTTCGCTTCCTAATTCCGTAGTGATGTAGAGAGAGAGGAAAGCGATATGTCACTTAATGAGTTTTATTGGGCTGGTGGACCAGGTGAAATACATTTCCTGTTTGCCTCAGCCAACTAAATGTACATCTTTCTAATGTGATTAGGCCTTCATACAGGGCAGAAGACAATTTATTATTCTGCCAGGGACAGCCAAGTTTTTCTTTAAAAATTGTTACTCCCGAAGTCGGCAATTACTTTAAAATAAATTTACTAAAGACAAAATTGTGCCTCTTGGGTCAGCAAACGACTTCTCTGTTTTTCTTCAAGAGACAAGGTGTTTATTAAGGACCTTCTTAGTTTACTGTGTAGGGTTTTTCACTCTGAATAATTGTCCAATTAAATATAATTTGGAAGTCCATGCTAACAGAGTACTTGCATTGTACGAGGAAGAATATCTCTGAAAGATGTGCATTAATAAATCCCTCTGAGCCCTATCACCTTTAAAAATGGCTTCTTTTGTTTAATTTTGAGAATTTTTAGTAGGGTTCTAAGCCGTATATTTGGTCATACTATTATTTCCCACAAATAATTTATACAGTTCTTTCTTTTGGAATCCGAAGAAAAGCAGTTTTATCATTTATTATAATTCTTTTTCTTATTTTCCAGCTATTGTTTAGATAAGAAATGTATTTTACAGTCTGAAACTTTGCACATTTTATTCCATGTTTTTGTCTAGCGATTTCTATTTCTGCTTGCAGCAGGAAAATAATATAAGAGTTAAGTGGATTTAGAGCTATAGGTTCCTCACATTATTAAAAAAAAACACCATTTGAAACAGATTTTGCCAACCATGTATTGCTTCCACTACCACACACATTTCCTGTAGGAAAGTACTTGCTAACAATCTGCTTTTGGACAGACAGGTTTGTAGTCCAGAGAGCTTAAGTATGTGTGCTGTCAAAATGATAGGGGAAAGAAGGTTAAATGCAACTATTAGCTTAAGGAATACGGACCTGAGCTGGCATAGATTCATGACTGTATTGGTCTAACCTGATCTACCAAATAGCAGAGAGGGAGTTTCCAAAGGTGCGAACACAATGAAGGTCTGATTTCAACGTTGTATGGAATGGATTTTCTGATAAGGTTCATTTTTAAAATTGTGTGGTATGTATGTTTGCTCCCTTGCAAGGCATGGAGAGAAGGGGTGGGGGGGGAGGAAAGGCAAGACCAAACTGTGCATATGCAACTGTCTTTTCAAAGTCCAGAAATCCAAGCCAAAAGAAGGCAGATAATTAGATCATTGGTGTACCTCCGCAACCAATGTTGGGAAAGCAGGTACCTAGTGTTCCTGCTCCTCCTGCTGCTGCTGCTGACTTGGGCACAGAGCCATGAGCTTCAGTGGCATTTTGGAACCTCAAAATCGTTGGGGTGAACTGGAGGACAAGAATTTTAGAGATGACTTTATTAAATAATGGTGACACCAGTGGAAGCTCATCCTTTGACTCAAATGGATCAGGCCTTAGAGGAGAAAAGCGTAAAAACAATTGCATCAGAAGCAGCAAGGTAGTATTGTAGAGGCAAAAAGTCAATAGGAATGAATTGATGATGATGATGATTTTATTTATATGCCGCCCATCTGTCTGGGTTGCCCCAGCCACTCTGGGTGGCTTCCAGCAAAATATAAAAACAAAATGAAACATCAAACATTAAAAGCTTTCAAGGAAGCTTCTAATATCAAGCCATATTGCTGAAGAAGAGAGGGGTATGTGATATATATATATATATATATATATATATATATATATGATAATATCACTGTTTGTTGGGAAGCAAGACTGCCTATTACGAAAAAGACCACCAGGTCTTTCTTGAAGGATGGAATCCAGTTCCAAGACCATTAGCATTTCCCCACCTTTGGGACTCATTTGTGTCAGCCTGGATGTTGAGCTGTACACTTCTCTGGATGATCACAGACGAGGATCATATTATAAGATAATGGACTGATACCCTGATTGGCAAAAACTCTTTATCACATGCCATTCAACATGACCTTCAGAGTTATTGGTTTGAGTTTTAACAAAGGAGCATTGATTGATTAGTCCTAATTAGAAGGGAAAACACCGTATTAACTATTATACCCTTTGCTGCTTTGAACAGGACTTGCTGTCAGTAATGAGAGGCAGCGGGGCCATTTGTGTAGACTGCCGGGCTGGCTCAAGGTTATTGGCTGACTAACATGTGCCCTCAAACTAAGAGGGTGCCCCAAAACTCTCGACTGCAGCAGAAAAAGGGGTTGGAGAGCTCTTTGTGCAGAGAGCCAGCAATACTGAAAATGGCATTAGGGGACCTGGACTTGCCCGCTGCTCCTGGGATGGCAGATGGCCTTAGTAAGGGACATGTAAACAGTCTAGGTGGACTGCGCATATAACTTGGGAGTGTTACAAAGCTTGAAATCATGTCACTTCCTGTGTGATCTTGGACAAGCCAATTCTTTGCTCTCACTGTCTTGTTTTAATTTCCAACTGTAGTCTGGGAAGGTTTCTTAGGGTGCATTCAGACAAAGAGATTAATGCATTACAGTGGTACCTCGGGTTACAGATGCTTCAGGTTACAGACTCCGCTAACCCAGAAATAGTACCTCGGGTTAAGAACTTTGCTTCAGGATGAGAACAGAAATCGTGCAGGAGGCCCCATTAGCTAAAGTGGTGCTTCAGGTTAAGAACAGTTTCAGGTTAAGAATGGACCTCCGGAACGAATTAAGTACTTAACCCGATGTACCACTGTAGTTTTCCTGGTTATAATGCCACTGCTCCTGTCACATTGTCTAATGGTTCTTTTATATTGCGTTACCTGTTGCCTTATGAAACTGTGGCTTTTTGACCGCTATACCTCCATGTCGCACTAAATTTCATTCACACCAGTGGACACAGTGTGACACAACAGTCGGTGTCTTTGGACATGACACAACACTTTATGTACACATATACTTTTGCTCCAATGTGGATAACCCATAGAAATGGCGGGAAAGAACTGTATGCTGAAATACCGCCTCAGATTTCATCACAGGCCATGATCCAACAGTAAAATTACAGTGCAAAACTCCTAGGATTTGCTGGGTTAACAAATGGATTTTTTCTGGAAGGAAATAACATGGAAAGGAGTGCTAAACTTCCTCTAGATTTCTAAAAGTGGCTTTTATGTCATGTGAACCAAAATGCTGAAATGATCAGGTAAGGAAATGCTAGGAAAACAGAACAAAGTACTGCAAATAGCAGTTTATTCCATTCCGGTGTGCCATTTCCCTAACTCTAAATTTCTGCATTATGTTTGAGCTTTCACACAATGTTAAAGCCACTTCCAGAAATATAGTGGAATATGGCGCAAATTTAGCACTCCTTTCCATGTTAATTGCTTCCAGAAAAAAATCCATTTGTAAATAATACACAAATGAGTGCTAAACATATGTTATATTCCACACATCATTTGAAACTGCACACATAATACAGAAATAAACGGAAAACTCAGGAACATTGAATAAACTTTTGCGTGAACGCTGCCTTATAAGAACTTCCATTCAAAAAGTTGAAATACATCTGGTGTAATTTAAATTCTTCTTTGAATGAATGTAGAGGAATGTTTCTGCTGTGTCTTCAGTGATTTGCATATAGATAATACTTTTAATACAAATAAAAAATTAGAAATGGTATGGGACCATAAATTGTACCCTTTGACAATGTTTTTAGATGTACTTAATGCTTTTTAAATGTTTTGCTTTGTTTTAAATGTATTCTTTGGGAGTTAGAACAGGATAGAAATTGTAATAATAATAATAATAATAATAATAATAATAATAATAATAATAGAGAGAACCCCAATATTCCTTTGAAAGAACTACTTCGTTTGATGTTAGCAGCTTCTATACTTGGCATTACCCAAGCTTGGAAAGATACACAGAAGCTAACACTTGACTATTGGTATACAAATGTTGTTGTTGTTCTTGTTGTTCTTCTTCTTGTTGTTGTTGCTGCTGCTGCAATTTCTGAAAAATTAAACCATATCAGCTAAAAGAACAACAAGGGGTGGCATACTCAGAATCCTCCACTGCAGTTTGATAGGACAAATGACAACAAACAATACAGGAGTCATGTTCCAACTTGATATGGTTTTCATGTGGAAGAACTTATTGTGGTGTTTCCACAATCAGTTCTTAGCAATCCGGACATTTTGTACACCTGTAGAAACAAAGAAGACAATTGTTTGCCATTCTTGCTTTGATTGGGTACGATGTTATGTTCCTAATGAAATAAAAAAGTGAAAAAATATTAGCTAACCTGTGGGGCTTGGCAAGAAACCAATATCTGCTGTGTAGTAGAGAGGGGGAAATCAGGGCCCAGAGGAATAAGGGCTTTCTCTTGATTTCTTGATAGGTAGCAAGTTTGTGAATCTGACTGGTTGTTTGTGAATTTGACTGGAGGAGAAGGTGAGCTCTAGTGTAGGGTTCTTCCTTGTCAGTAAGCAAGCAGGTGGGATGGGAGGGAGGAAGGAAAGGAAAGGAAAGGAAAGGAAAGAAGGATCTTTTCTCTCTCTCACTGAAAACTCATTCCCTTTTTGCCTTTGAGAAACTGGCAAGGCAGCATGGGCTCAAATTCCTCTCATACCAAAGGAGAAAACTGCATTTGATACATTCAAGTTCCCACTGTGGTTATCCTTGGTTTTTAAAGCGAATAAATAAATAAATAAATAAATAAATAAATAGAAAGGTAAAAGAAGGCTGTTGGTTTGTCCTTCTTTTGAGGTTAATGCAGAAGAGTGTTAATTTTACATGGGATCTGTTGTGTGCTGACAAGCTAAAAGCTTTGCGTCCACATTGAGAGCTGTCAGAGAAACTCATTTCATTGGCGTGTGGGATGCGCAGCCTAGTTGATGGCTACATGAAAGGAAGCCACGGTTTTGATTAGACCGGCGTTGCTTTGCCGGCACATTCTGCTGATAGGTGCAGTTCAAATCCTTTAACACACAACAAAGTCCGTTAAATCCATCTCTTTTGGTAATTCACTTAACAAGCGGTGGGGGGGGGGGGGCTTTTGAAATTAGTCCTTGCATATCAAGTTTTCAATTTACAGTCGCAAAGCAGTTCACCCTTAATATATCCATTTTCAGAAAAGATTGTCAATGGAACATGCTGAAATACAGCCTGCCTAATTCATTTCCAGGTGTCCCACTGCATTTCAATTGTGACTTTTTTCTATTTCTTTTTGGGAGTAAATCTGAGAGTGCTCTGTATTCTTGCCACATTTTTAAAGGCTTTGCTATCATCATTCACCTGATTTAAAGAAACTGCATAACTCAATTGATTCCGTGAATCCCTCTTTCGGTGAAAGGCTCTCATTCTTTTAAAAAAACTTTATACTTTTATATTCCTTTTTATTTTTCACAATTGTCCTATACAATATATATATATATAAATATGTAGGATAAAGTGTCAAAGGTAGGAATGAAAAGGAAAGTTAAACTTGCTTTTCCTATGAAGCTTCAAATAATGATTGGCTGAGATCCTGACATTTTGTAGATCTTCTTACCTATTTGCTGTTTGGGTGTTTATTAAGGTTGGTCGCTGCCCCTGGCCTATCTTGATACAACTTGCTGGAAACAAAACAAAGCACAAAAAACCCCATTCTCAGCAGTTGATCCCATAGACAAAACGGTATTCATAAAAAATTTAAGATCCAACTCTGAGTGTTAAAACATTTTTTTTTTTTTTGGAAGGAGATAAAAGAAAAAGGACTTAGAATTACAAGCAGTTAGACTTAGTTTTCTTGCGTAATGACTCTTGGTTCCCCACTGTGAGAAGTCTTTCCCCAGCTTCTCGTCTGCATTCTTCATCATTCCCTGTGGGAGAATGAGTTGGATTTGTCTGCCATATTCACAGCAATTGAGGTGATCCAGGTTGAAAGAAAATCAATAAGATGTGTCCATTTATGCCTCACAAAGGAAGAAAGGTCTAAAGAACAGACATGGGACGTTATTCAAGCGCTGGAGACTTAATAAGACTTCTCCTTGTGCTTGAAGGGGATGGTAATTTATATTTTACTTTGAACTCTCCTTTTTTATGCTTCATAACTATCGGGATTCAGGCTGACATGGGAAGCCAGGAAAAGGAGGTTTGATGCTGTCTTAGAAGGCCTAGCCCATTTGGGAAGGCCACGCGCAACGTTTCAGAAAGGAAAACTGTTTTAGGAAAGGATGGGGGGAGATTAAAGAGGCATCACATCCTCAGACTGATTTTTGCATTGCTATTGATACAACTGGTTTAAAGAAGGCAGGATTGGGATGTGGTGTGGCAGGGAGACTTTATTTGAGAGCAGCTGCAAGTTTCTCGTGACTAGATGGCTTTTCAGTGCTGCTGATATCATTTTAGTTAGAAGAACCATCATAATACTTAATGGGGTGCCACTGGAGGGTTTATCAAGTTGACCTCCACCTTCAAAATACCCCAACTGTCTTATTTTGCCTTGTCAGTCCGCAGGGGACACCATTCGTTAAGAAGAAATGTGAGGAGCTTCCCCTCCACAAGAGCCGTCCATCAATTGCCTCCACCTGTACTGGTTCTAGCTTGTTCTGAAGTGGCACCTGATGATGAGCAGCAAAGGCAGCATCCATATAGGAGCGGGTTGCCCCCGAATCTACCAGAGCGTGGGTAAGAATCCAGGGCCCACCTGGAGGGTAAAGACGCACCGGAACTATGAGATGTCGCAATTCCACTGGTGTGGGCCCCTCTTGCATGGTTTGGGACCCCAGGTTGCCAGGCCTTTCGGCTACCGAGGTTGGCGGTTTCCCTGCGGCTGGCATCTTCTCAGGACAGGACCGGGCGTAATGTCCACTCCCACCGCACTACAGACACAGGTTCCCCTCCCGACGCCGCGTCTTCTCCGAGGGGGAGAGGCGAGGTCACGCAGCCCCAAGCTGCGTTAGCTCGTCCGGCAACTCGGCTGTGGCTGTGGACCTGCTGGGAACGACTGGAGCCAGGAGCCGGGAGTGCTGGCGGTCCCGGGCCTGGCGACGGTCCTCCAACCGATCGTCTATCTGCAGGCTCCGCTGAATGAGGGCGTCCAGCGTGGTGGGACAATCCATCGTGGCCAACTGATCCAGTATCTCGTCCGACAGTCCCTCAAGATACTGGTCCCGAAGTGCAGCGTCATTCCAAGACAAGTCCTGCGCCAACAGCCGAAATTCTGTGGCGTAGGCAGTGGCTGTGGACTTGTCCTGTCTCAACCAACGAATCGCCCGATTGGCTTGGCTCTCCTTCAGAGGGTTGCCAAACACAGTCTCCAAGTGGTTACAAAACCCCACATAGCCTGTTAGCAAAGGAGAGTCTTGCCGAAGCAGTGGCAAAGCCCACTTGGCCGCCTGGTCCTTTAACAAACTGACCAAAAAGTGCACCTTGGTGCGGTCGTCAGGGAAGTTCCGGGCTCGCCCCTGAATATACAACTTGGCCTGGGCGAGGAACATGGGAAAGCTGGCCAGGTCCCCATCAAATTTCTCTGGCAAGGCCACTGGGTACTTGCCTGGAGCTGGGGCGTCGGCCCCAGGAGCTGGTAGGGTGTCCAACCGCTGCTGAAGTGCCGTAACCACATCGCTTAGCTGCTGAACGGTGTGGGTCAAGGCCTGGTTCTCCTGGGCCAATGCCACCAACGCAGCTGCCTGGTCAGCCATGGCCTCTGGCTCTTCCCAAATGCACCCCAACGAAGCGGGAGTGCGGGTGTGGTGGGAGCAAACTGTGCTGGTCCAGGGGGGAGGTTACCGTGGGGCGAGGTCCAGGACCTGAGTCGAGGGCCGGCAGACAGTCCTCCACGGGCAAGCGGGGTCCACAGCGAGGAGCCGGGCAAGGACAGGAACTCTGGGGGAACCGGACTGGGTGCTGGCCGAAACAGCTCTTCAACGACATTGCTCCCGCAACCTGGGACTGGGCTGACTGGCCTTTATCTTCTCTGAGGCCAGGGGCGGTCCCGGCCCCCAGGAGACCCACCTCTCCTGGCCTTAAGGCGAGCACTCCTCCTGGGAGAAACCAGTTCCCTCCGCCTCTCTACCCTGAGCCTCTGCAGTTCAGGAGAGGCTGAAGGGTTACTGGACCCAGGGGGAGACTCACCTGTAGGCACTGAGTCCTCAACCACCTCCGGAGCCAGAGTGGATTCACCTGGTGCCTGCTCCTGAGGATCCGGCACAGGTGCAAGCGCTTCAGAATCAAGGCCCTGCCCCAGTTCAGCCGGCCCTGGAGGCGGGGACTCCTGTGCAGGCTGGGATTCCTCCGGTTCAGCCTCTGAATCGGATTCCCAGGCCATCACAATCTGCCTCTGGGTGCAAGGTATAATCCCTCAGCAGAAAAGGTCTTCTCTCTTCAGTTGACATTTGCAAGCGATCTACATGGCATTATTTTGCAATGTAGATGAAGAGGCACTGTCATTCCGGAAGAGAGAGGAAAGACTTCTGGAAACCATCTCCCTCACCAATAAGAGAGTGGGAGGCATTGCACTATTGCCGCTGATTATAATTTTTAATCCTTACACAAATGTATTTCCAAGAATTTTCAGATCAAGTGGGTTCAGAAAGCATTTGTTAACTGCTGAATGTATAGCTTCCTTATCAAATGGTGATCTGAGTGAACTGACCAGATACTATTTACCACTAGTCAAGTATTTTGTCTGCTTTGATTGCCATAGAAAAGAAAGGTGATGCTGAAACGCCCAGGAGATTGCTTCAAAACTGGGAGGGCATCATATCCAAAAGGAAGAAGCTGTACTGAAATTCTAAATATCCCATTAGTTTTTGTTAGAAGATTTACATTTATAATAAAGGAGAAAAGAGAAGTTTTGTGTTTTATGAATAAAAGGAAGCTTCAGTGCTTTTTTTCTAGAAAAATAGGTGCCGGTGACTTCACCATGAAGTTACAGTAAGTGCCACACTTTTTAACAACAACAACAGTGATGGTACTGCATACCCTTGAGTACCCCCTGGGGGAAAGCACCAGGATGCTTGTTTATCTTTGGGAGGTCATGTGGAAATGAATCAGGATGGCATAGAGGCAGTCCTTGATGGAATGTCCTCCAAATTTGCAAGACGCAACCATGATATTAGTGATGTTTTCCCAAGCAAGGTTCAGAAATGAACTTTGAAGGCTCAGAAAAGGAAGCCCAGATCTAAAGTAGAGGTGCATTTTTCAGGTTATCCACTACTGATGTCTCGACTCTTTCCTCAAACAGCTGTGTGTTGCTTGTGGCTGCTTGAAGTGGTGAAAGCCCAACAAACAACCTCCTGTTTTCTTGTGGTGGTTTTGTGCAATCAGATCACCTGGCTATGCAGGTAGGACCTGGCTTTTCAGGTAAGACAAACATGGGCAATGCAAAGTTGTTCAACAAAACGGATGTGAGACTAAAAGCATGGCCCTGCTTGCATGTTGATGGACTCCAGCTCCCATCATCCCTAGCCAATATAGCCAGTGCTCAGAGATTATAGAAGCTGTAGTCCAGCAATACTGGAGAACCAGAGATGGATGCCCCACCTCATCCTATGTACAAGTTATGCATGTTTGATCTTATTCATGACTTCTGTGTACCAATCTGGTATCTAAAAATGAAGGGCAGTTTAAAAGGAAATAATAACAACAATATTAAATTATCAGACCACACACACGCATATATATGAAGGACCCTTCAAGTGCAATTGAAAATAGTCTCTTCTGCCTCATAATTGTGTGTGTCTGTGCGCAGCTTAATTTGTGTCAAGCAGATTTTAGTGAACATAGCAAAGAGCAGTCGTTGTGTCTTTAAATGAGCAAAACCAGCATTTAAGTGATCGACTTAACATAACTGCCCTTCGTTTTCAAGAAATGTACTTGAGTAAGGGTGAGATCAGAATATCAAAGCAGCCTGTGGAGTGTTGCAGGCTAAAAAGCAAAAGTTTCCCTCTTCTGTGTTTTGCTTCTGAACACAATGTTATTAAGGAACATCTTTTCATTCAATAATTACCAAGTAATGGGGAGAAAATGCTGAAGAATGTGCCCTATATGGAATTACCCAAGTGAGCTTGGCTGGGGCATGGGAAGGAAATGCATATATAGATATATGAGAGAAAGAAACAGAAAAACACCAGCAAATAGAAAAAGGGATTGGATGAAGGATCTGAAATGCTTGCCACACAGAAGTGAGCTTTTGCAATTCTATAGAAGTGTGCTTTTCGCCTTAGTGAATCTGAAGACTCTTTTAGTATCTTATTTGCATAACAAAGGCATCACAAAATCAGCTTTGCTTGAGATGTGACAAGGGGAGAGACTGCCTGGGCCCCCAAACCATTGAGTGATGCAGAACATTCAAACACTGGAGATCTGTAAGCTCGATGGTTCCTCTCTGTTTGCCAGCCTTACACGGACAAGTGCAAAGGCTGCCATTCACCAGCGTACTAGGCATGCCTAGGGCATCCTTTATGGTGACGTTACAGGGGCATTATAGCCTCACAATGACTCACTTGCTACAGTGTGAATTCTCCGTTTAATGTCAGCAAGCCCCACCCCTTTTTTGGGTAACACTCATTGAAATTCTGCGGAAACTTCCCTCCGCCATCTCCTTGTCTCTATGCTACACTGCTTGAGTGGCTCCTAAATATTTCCTCAAAGGGATCCACACAACAGGCTTTTCCTCATTGTTCAGGACCTCCATGTTAGTTCCAATGCCTGACCTGGAAGTGATACCCTTCTTAGTCTGCATCTCATTGTCCCCACTAGCCGCTCCTCCCAGCCTGGGGCAGCCCACCCACCAGACTCTACTCCACCTCGGGGGATCACTATACAACATGGATCCCCACAGAAGGTCTCTGGGCTAACTAGGGGCACACAGCTGGCTTTTAGCTGGTAACTTTCTCAATGTACACAGTCATTCCTGGCGAGCAAACTAGGAGAATCTCTTGTCCACCACAGCGTATGGTTGCTCTCTCTTGCCCTGTCTCCTACTCTTCCTCCCTTACCTAGATTATATATCTATTTCTTCCTCTCTATGCTGTCACATCCAGGCAACTCCAGATTTATGGGGGTGTGTGTGTTACATTCCAAAGCACTGCACGTTTAAGTGAAATCACAAATATTTGAAAAAGCCTGCAAACTCCCTGCCCCACCGAGGTGATGTTTGGAGGGTCATTTCTGGGAAACACTGGGTTAGAGTGTCGGGCTAGGACTGGGGAGTCCCAGGTTCCAATCCCCCCTCCTAGCCATGAAGCCTACTGGTGGACCTTGGGCTAATCACTGCCTCTGAGCCTAATCTACTGCACAAGGTCGTTGTGAGCATGAAATGGAAAGAGGGGGAACCATGTATGCTGCCTTGTGCTCCCTGGAAGAAAAGCGGAAGAGAAATATAAAAAATGAAGAAGCAGAAATATGGTGTAGTGGCTGTCTGGGGGTTCTTCAAAGAAATTTTTAGAGGGGGAAATTGGTTTTCATGAGAATCTGTTTCTCTCTCCCCCTCCCCCGCCACAACTTGGTTGAAAAAATGATGAATGAGCGAGATTAAAAAATATACTTGAAGCAAGTGAGTTTAGTTCTCCTTTGCAGAAGAACTGTAAAAGTAATTCTTTTTTATATATTAAAAAAAAAATCCTCATTGGAATGCTAATTTTGATTTTTTATTATCTGTCATGGGCTGCTTTGAAGTTTTTCCCAGACAAAAATAAATAGCCCCATAACAGAAAGGATTATAGGAGTCTTGTTTAGAATCATCTGCCTAAGAGTGACATTTAATTTCGGAATATAGAAGGTTTTATTGAGGCTGCAAAGTCTTTGAAAGAGCTCAAGTCTCTCTCCTATTTTTTAAATTTGCCTATAAATGGTTTCACTGGGTTCCCCCCCTTTCTTTTTCAGCTAGAAGGGGGGAGGAGGGGTGTCGCGCTCTCTTCAACCCTATCGAAGAGAAACGATATATTCGATATAATTCAATAAAGTGATAGCTAAATTATATTGCCTTTATTGCAGAGGGAAGTATTTCCTTTTTTTCTTGCAGTCAGTACAAACCCAAACAGATCTGTGACTCAGCTTTGAAGGCTTTGCCTGAATAAATCAGCTTTGGCAGCCCTGTAATTCATAAAACAATACCTCTAGCTTCACTCAAATGGTAGAGGGGCGGTTCAGGCTTTATGATTCCGTTCAGTTCTGGAGCGTTAATGGGGCTATTTGTAAAGAAAGAAATATAATGAGTTATCACAAAACACAGCAAGGACTCTAGAAGGGGCACTCTTCCATTTATCACCTGTTCTAGCGTATTCCCAAAAGAACCATGCAAGAAATCTTACAGGGACAATAGGGAATTTTGGTGGTGGCTGGAGCCTGACGTTCAACAAATCGTGGGGAACTGGGACTATTATTTTATTTATATAATTACCCCAACACGATCACATGCTCACACCAACCAGGAAAAATCAGTTTTCTTACCTTTTGCTTCTCAGTTTGCTTTTGTTTTCGTCTCAACTGTGATTTATAGGCATAGGGATATTGGATCGCTTTTAAGCAAAATGTAAAATATAACTCTGGTCTTTGAGAGCCCTTTCAGTTCCATCTCCTGTGCATGAGTGTAAGCTAGCCATGTTTCCAGTCCGTCCCCCTCAGAGTTTATAGCTAAGCTATATACAAACTCCCCTGGGCTTAAATTTGGTATATAGATATGTCTTCCTGGGAGCAATTCTTTTATTTGGTAAATTAAAAGAAGAAAAATGACAAGTGAGGTGTTTTAAACTCCTAAGAGTGCAAGCAGTGTTTTACGGGCTTCTCCTGCAATGCAGCTAGGAGCACTGCAACTCACATTCTGCTCTTTTCTGCCAGCTCAGAACTCTGCATGTAGCACTAAGGCACTTTGGAAGGTACAGTAGATACATGTAAGAAATGTGCTAGGCTTTTGCCCCTGTGGCAATGTAGTGAATCAGTTCCAATTGGAGGTGGCTTCCTTTCAGACTGTTAAACAGTGAATAGCAGTGGGGGGTGGGGTGGGGGGAAACCACCCAAATGTATTCCAGGAGAGTATTTTACAGTAAGAAATCCATCAGTTTCCATTTGTTGCACATTGCATTAATTCTGGGGAATGAAGGCATTCTATGCAAGTTAAAGGACAATCGGAAGGCTAGTTCACACGTCACAATATGTCACTTGCTTACTCTGCACTTGACGATTCACAGTACAGTATATGAACTGGCTCAGTCAAGAATGTTGGGTTGGATCTTCAGAACATTGTGAGGAACTCCATTTAGACAATGGGTCTTTCTTGTCTGTTTCCTCCACTACAAGTTTTGGCACCCCCAGAAGCTACTCTTGAGAGCCAAGAGTTTTTCTGGATAGGGGTGGGGTGCAAGGGACTACAGGAAGCTGTGGAAGCTGAAGGAATTTGGTGTGGCCAACTTCCATAGGCAGAAGGGCTTTTCCATTTGGCCTCTCTGGATTGAAGCGAATGTGTTTGAGCTGACATGAGTTTAATCTGTGGTTGCTCATGTACGCAGGCAGATGTATAGGTAAACTGGTTTTGAGATGGCCCACAACTACAACCATGAGGTCCCAACAAACACTTCTGTGGCCATATCTCATGGGGCCAGAGCCAAACTACATGTTACATATTTCCGTACAAAAATGCAACTGTGACAGGGCTGGTGGTGGGGCTGCCAATGTGCTGGAGATACTGCTGAATTGTTGGTATGTGTTGCCTAAGAAACCCTCCAACTATGCTGTTTTCCCACTTTAAGCTGTTCGCCACCAACTGTTGTTACTCCCTGCAGGAAAATGCAAACACATGTATTCTCCCCTCCAAACAGCAGGCTGTTTTCAATAAAAAATGGGTGTTAGGGTTAAGGGCCAGCCACTCCAGCAGTCCTGCCAGGGTCTTGGTCACCTTGGCATGTGTATAACAGTTCCTTTGAACTATTTCAGGATGCAGGATGCTATCCTAAATGCATTTGAGGCCACCACCTCACTGAAACTAAGCAGGTCTGAGTCAATGCCTAGGTGGGAGACTGCCTGGGAACCACAGGTACTCTTCCTTGGGACAGAAGAAACTATGTGGCCTCCAATTTATTCTGAAAGGGAATGGAAATAAAAAATAAATTGTCCTACATGTGATAAGTGAGGCTGCTGGTGAAAGGGCGAGTGCCTCTCAAACTTGGGTCATCAGCTGTTGTTGGATTTCATCTCCCAACATCTCTAGCTAGCAGGACCAGTTGTCAGAGATGATGGGAGTTGTAGTCAACAACAGCTGGAGACCCAAGTATGAGAAATACTTTCCTTGATGCTCTAGCATTCTATATGTGGCATGTTTTTTGATAGGGGCTTTGCTTGAATTGAAGTAGGGGTGCTCACATAGGCAGGAAGCCTTGCTCAAATTCTTTCCAGCATGTACTGTCTTAGCCATCCTGACAGCATTCATACTTAATGGACAGGATATAAACATTTGAATATATCAGTCTGTAAGGCTGCCATCTCACCTGGCACACTCATTTTGTTTTCATTTCAGTGCTGAGCACCTTATTGATGTATTTGATTAGAGGTCATCAGGCAAGCAAGGAAACACCAAGGGTGTTCTTTTTGTCTGAGCAGGAATTTCCTAATTGGCTAAAAACCAACAAAACAGGCATGAAGTATCGTCTCTTTACTACTCCCCTTGCCCTGAATGTAGGTCCCTGCAACTATGGACACAAATTCGTAATAAGATTACTCTGATCTTCTTTTCTACCATGAATACTGAAAACATCAGTGAATATAAAAGCTGCACCAATTAGTGATGATAGTTTTAAACTTTGTGTTATCTGTGTTCCCAGGTTTTAGACAACATATTCATTTTTAGAACAGAAATGGGATCACAGTTCAAGCTAAAACTGTTGATTTTATCAGCCCCTTTCTTCCTGGACACTTTTTTATTGCCTGCTGTTTTTAATGTCTGTTTTTATTGCCTTTTTAGTGAATATTTCATACCGTTATGTGAGTGATTTAGAGATATGCTTGATTAAGTGGTATACAGCCCTTGCAATCAATCAATCAATCAATCAATCAATCAATCAATCAGTCAGTCAGTCTGTCCATCCATCCCAGGAGTCTGTGGTTTGGAGGTCAAGCCAATGACCTATGTCCATGTGTGCATAACATCATAATGTGCAGCTATAAGGCCAGGGTCTCAACTAGATGTGACGAGAGACATGTTCCTGCCACTTCTTTTCCCAGGCAAACAATTAGTCTAATAACATGAGTAACACAACATCACACTATAAATGTCTTTCCCCCAACCCTGCAAAGAGCAGTAGTAGGGAGACTCTAACTATGGTAATGTGATGCCATCCATCTTCTTTAACTAAACTTTACTGGGCAGATGCAGAAAGGTGTGGTGTTTAGTAGTGACTTGCATGCATCCCATAACATGTACCTTGGACCTGACTGAGGCTCCAACTCCATGTGATGATAGCCAACCTATGTGTTTGACAACAAACTCCAAGGAAAGGTGATGGGACTCTGACCACCATAATGTGATCAAAGGGGGTCTGTTTCCAATCCTGTCTTTTTAGCACTTCCTGCCCCTCTGCTCTTAAAATCCCCCCCCCCCCCCGTAAACATGCTTTAAAAATGTTTGGGGGCAAATTGAAAGCCTTGGAGCACATATCAGCCACATATCATATCTGGCACTTTTAAGTCTTATTGATTTTAGTGTGAAAGAGTGGGTGCTTAGCTTTTCCCTATTGAAATTGAAGAGATGTGAAGCATGCTGAGCTTTGACTGGATCATTGCCCTACAGATTTCTGGGTGTCACTCATGTACTCCAAAATCTGCTGAAACATGTTGAAGAACTGAAGCAATCAGACCTTAAGATCTGAACAAAATGGAAAGTTGGTGTATCAACCAGTGTCCCCAAGTGTCCTTTCAAATCATGGAGGCTGGGTGAGTTTCAGGGTGGGATCACATTAGTTGAACCAGATCTGCACTTTCACACAACCCTCATTTCAAGCTTCTTCCATTCCTCTGATCATGGAAGGAGTAAAAATGTGTCCCATTTACCTCAAGAGGGCTTGCACAAAGGAACTTCTCTGTGGTCCCAGTGGATTGTGTTATTTATGTCTAGCATTAATTATGGCTGTCAAGCATTTCAGAAATCACGGAGATACTAATATCAGCCCTGTGAAAGATTTATTTTTTAACACTGACACAGAAGATCTCCATCACCTCAGAGTTGTTATCCAGAATATTCCATAGGCAAGCCTTTCAAATTCCTTGCATGGTGATGTCTGAATAATTGAGGCCTTCCCAATTTCCCTACTCTGGCAACTAGTGTGTGTGTGTGTGTGTGTGTGTGTGTGTGTGTGTGACTTTTTGTATCATATTAGGTGAGTGTCTAGTTGCCCCAGCTAGATCTACACTGAAACATGCAGAAATCAGTAGTTGTCCCTACCATTAACTAAGGTTAACTAAGGCAACCCTTTAACTAAAAATTCAGATAAATTTCTCACCTCATCTTTCCAGAGGGTTTTATTCTGCCCCCTACCTGCCCAATGAATGATAAAAAGGGACTTTCAGCACAGATCCTGTATTTTTCCCTGTCTAGTAAACCCTGATTTCCAGCAATATAGGGCCTAACTACACCTGACATTATATGTGCCTTTCTATTAATACACATAACAGCCTTTGGGTGAATGGTTCTCATAAGGGTCACAGCAGGGTGGAACTCCAATCTGTTCCTTCTGTAATCCTAATAATTATCAGCTCCTCACTACCATTTTGCTTTGGTCCCTGGTGCCAACACCATCATCATAATCATCACTACTACTACTACTACTACTACTACTACTACTATACCACCCATCCTCTGAAGATCACAGGGTGGTTTACAACATAAAAACTCAAAATACAATTTTTGAACCCAGTGATCTCTCTCTCACACACACACTTATCAACCTACCTACCTACCTACCTACCTACCTGCCTTACTATCTGAAGTTCACCTGTATCAGCATTTTTTTTATTTTCTGCGCTACCTAAAGACTCACCTCTTTCTCCAGGCCTTAGATGTGGAGGGGGGTTGCTGGTGTGAGCCTAGCTGTAATGTAGGGGTAAGGGAACCTTTTTTCGCCAGAGGGTCACATTCCCTTCCGAGCAAGCTTCTGGGGGGACATACGCCACTGAGGGGCAGCGCCAGAGGCAAAAGTGGGCAGAGAGAAGGATGTGAGCCTCACCTTTGCACCAGATATTTCAACACACACACACATGCATCTCTCCATACTCTAGCCAGGCAAATGAGTTCAAGAACACAATCAAGTGAGGCAGAAGCACTCGGCACAGAATAATAATAATAATAATAATAATAATAATAATAATAATTTATTATTTATACCCCGCCCATCTGGTTGGGTTTCCCCAGCCACTCTGGGCAGCTTCCAACAAAACACTAAAATACAATAACCTATTAAACATTAAAAGCTTCCCTAAACAGGGCTGCCTTCGGATGTCTTCTAAAAGTTTGGTAGTTATTTTTCTCTTTGACATCTGGTGGGAGGGCGTTCCACAGGGTGGGTGCTACTACCAAGAAGGCCCTCTGCCTGGTTCCCTGTAACTTGGTTTCTCGCAGCAAGGGAACCGCCAGAAGGCCCTTTGTGCTGGTCCTCAGTGTCCGGGCAGAACGATGGAGGTGGAGACGCTCCTTCAGGTATACTGGACAGAGGCTGTTTAGGGCTTTAAAGGTCAGCACCAACACTTTGAATTGTGCTCAGAAATGTACTGGGAGCCAGTGTAGATCTTTCAAGACCGGTGTTATATGGTCTTGGCGGCCGCTCCCAGTCACCAGTCTAGCTGCCGCATTCTGGATTAGTTGCAGTTTCCGGGTCACCTTCAAAGGTAGCCCCACATAGAGTGCATTGCAGTAGTCCAAGCGAGAGATAACTAGAGCATGCAGCACTCTGGTGAGAAAGTCTGCAGGCAGGTAGGGTCTCAGCCTGCATGCCAGATGGAGCTGATAACTGACCTGCGCCTCCATGGATAGCTGTGAGTCCAGTATGACTCCCAGGCTGCGCACCTGGTCCTTCAGGGGCACAGTTATCCCATTCAGGACCAGGGAGTCCTCCACACCCGCCCGCCTCCTGTCCCCCAAAAACAGTACTTCTGTCTTGTCAGGATTCAACCTCAGAATACGGCTTGTGAAGGGTGTGGCCTAGGGAGAGTCCTGTGGGCCACATAGAGAGGCCAGGGCCATTTGGCCCCTCACATACCCTCCCACGGGATGTGGCCCAAATCAGATACACCATCTTCCGGGTCCAAAGACCTGTGCAAGTCACACGACCCATGCGAGATTGTGGACCTGGAAAAAGTGCTGGGGGGGGGCAAGATCTCGTCCTGAAATTGTGCGAGAGCAAGGTGCTCAAAATGTCCGCCATGCTCTCGTGGGGAAAACCAGGATGTCACAGTTTTTCTGGGGCAGTTGACGGGTATTGCTCAGCCTCCCCATATTTATTGCAGTGGTATGGTGTGGTAGCAAGGGACACGGGTGGCGCTGTGGGTTAAACCACAGAGCCTAGGACTTGCCGATCAGAAGGTCGGCGGTTCGAATCCCTGCGACGGGGTGAGCTCCCGTTGCTCGGTCCCTGCTCCTGCCAACCTAGCAGTTTGAGAGCACGTCAAAGTGCAAGTAGATAAATAGGTAACGTTCCAGCGGGAAGGTAAATGGCATTTCCGTGCGCTGCTCTGGTTCGCCAGAAGCGGCTTAGTCATCTTGGCCACATGACCCAGAAGCTGTACGCCGGCTCCCTTGGCCAGTAAAGTGAGATGAGCGCCACAACCCCAGAGTCAGCCACGATTGGACCTAATGGTCAAGGGTCCCTTTAGCTTTACCTATGGTGTGGTAGCAGAATAAGTAAGGTTATTTTATAAATATTAGATTTCATTAAGGTTATATTAATAGCCAAACTGTTATTGTATATGTATATGTTTAGGATGTCACCTTCTTTTGGATCCTGTATCAATGAAGGGCAAGCTAGAAATGAAATGATAATGATGATAATAATGATAATTATTAGTAGGAGCAAGGGCATTCATTTCCAGATGCCCTTGAGCCTCCCATGTAGTTCCACCAGGTACAAGTTTCAAGTTGAATCACAGCCTGGAGGGGAAATGTACAAGTTTCTCCCCAGGATGCACTTTCAGTAGCATCCAAGATCTACACTCTCTCCCACGAGGAACATTCCCTGTGTTCAAAGTGGTTCAGCAAATGGCAGAATGTTTTTAAATCTCTCTCTCTTCAGGGCATTGCACATTCTGTGCATGTACATTGCTCTCATTGGCCTTAAAAGAAGTTTAATGCATACATCAAAGGGAGGATTTACCCCCATCATGAGCCCCGACGGGCAAAAACAACAGCAGCAAGCTCACCGGCTACAGATTCTGAGCCGTGAGTGTGGCAGAGTTCAAACCAACAGCTCACGTTTTAAGCAGTGTGTGTGTGTGTGTGTGTGTGTGTGTGTGTGTGTGTGTTTAAAATATAGGCCAGTGTTTAAATATTGGTTGTCCTAATGACCAAATTGGAGGTTCCTTCTTTAAAATAAACATTGGTCTACCAAACTGTATACCAATACTAATAATTTTATTATTTATCCCCTGCTCATCTGGCTGGGCAGAGAAGAGGGTGACCTGGTGCAAAGTAGTACTAGGCTCCCCTAAGTCCTATCCCTACTTCTAACAGTTTGGTAGAAGAGAAAACAGGTACAGTTTACCTTGCAGGGATGATAAGCATTTTGGGAAGGGGCTTTGGTTCAGTGGTAGAGCATCTGTTTTAAGTACAGGAGGTCACGGATTCAATCACTGGCACCTCCAGTTTGGGCTGGGAAAGGCTCCCTGCCAGAAACCCCGGATAGCTGCTGCCAGTCAGTGTAAACGATGCTGAGACTGATGGATGTGGTCTGACTTAATGTAAGGCAGTTTCCCATGTTCTTCAGAACTACAGCTACTACAATTCTCTTGTCTATCCAACTGTCAAGGACTGAGGAGCCCTGCCTTCCTTTGCATGTGGTCACCCTATTTGCACTCGTCAGGAAAGAGGTGGTGAGTGTGCACTGACAAATATCTAGGGATAGCAATGCTAGGTCTGGTAGCAGGACTTGGCATCTTGGGGCAGTGCCATTTTGGCCAAGCTATGCTAATCTTGCCTAAGGGCAGGTGAAACCCCAGTTCAGCTGAAAGGCTTAGCTGATCAGCTGATTGGTAACATCTGCAAAACTCTATGCAAAGAGCTGTGCACAGGGCTTTGCAAGAGCTGACAACCAGCTGATTGTCAGGTCTTGTGAAGCTCCTTGCTGATGTCCCTTTGCAAACAGTCACCGCATGTGACTTTGACATCAGGTGATTGATAGGTAGGCAAACTTGGCCTGCGAAATGTGCAGGAGATCTGGTTCCCCATCCCTGGTCTACACTGCCTGGCAGCAGCTATCCATGGTTTAAGACAGGGAATAGTCCCAAACCTCCCAAGAGATGTCATGGACTCAACATGGATGTTCGGCATGCAAAGTAGATGTTCTAAGCTGCAGCTCTTCTCCTTTTTATGATAACCTTGAGAAAGACCAGCTCTGATTGAGCCACATAATGCAATTCTTCCCCTCCATTGAAACCCAGTGGCTCTTACTTTTGAGTAAACAAGCACTGGATTGGGCTATAAGTAACCTTCAGGCAGACTTGTCCTGCTCTCTTTTGCTAATTAATTGCAAAGCTCAAGTATAAGTGGCACTGGATAATATGGCAAACAAAGGTAGAAGGAGAAATTCCTTTCTGTTCATCACTGGTCTGGAGGGGAGGGGGGAGGAGGACCGGGGAGGAAAGTGTTAATAGCTTGTGCCTGAATGCCGTGGTTTGCAATCTCTAAGCAGCTTTAGTGTCTCCTACCACAGCCCTGATTTAAAATTCATAAATGCTAATCCTCCATAATTTACGGTTTAAAAAGCAGCCCCACTCACAGGCCCTGTGGCTACAGCTCTGTCAGAGTAATTATGCCGCCAAGCTGAAATTGGACTACTAACTGAGATATTAAACAGGGTAGGAAATCCTCTTCCTTGGCAGCCTACCCAATTATTCCAAATAAGCAAACAGATTAGTGAGTAATTTTCCAGTTAAATCTGGTGATTGGTGCCAGAATTGTATGTTAAATATTCAGAAGTAAATAGATTAAAGATGAAATGTCCCCCTCCTTTTTTCCCTCAAGCTTAATTTAGTGTGTATATTAAAACTTTTTTTAAAAAAAGAGGGAGTGAGAGAAATCTTCATTGAAGTGCAGGATGATTGCTTTGAAAACGGAGCTTTTTCCCTTTCATTTTGTTTGCCCTCTGGGGAAGGGGGGCTCTGCTATTAATTAGTCGGGGCACGTTGTGCTGATGGAACCCCATGCTGCACAGAGGCTGGGGCTGGCTTGTGGTTTTCTATTAGCTCTGCTCCTGGAGGGCACCTCCTGGGTGGGCAAGCTCCGGAAGACCCCCAAATGGGAAAACCCTAGAATGAACTTTGAAGCAGGATGTGGTCGGAGGTGCATCCAATCTTCTATCTTCCTTCTTTGGACTAAGAGCTTTTCGTGGGCACAGCAGTAGCTGATGGCCCTTGTCTTCTGGTTTTCTCAATAACCAGCTGTACAAATGGGTCTTTCACTTGTTGACTTCGGCTCATCTCTGAACTGTTTTCTTTTGGGAAAAGGACTTAGCGTTATCCCAGTTCCAAGGTTTCATCTTTAAGAGAGGAAGACCAAGCTAATGGTTTGTGTTGTTTGGAGCATTTTTCAAGCACCTTCAGACTGGTCCAAACTTAGAACCGGTTTTCTGGCTCTGATGCAGCTTGAGTAAGGGCCACCCTTTTGAAAGAAATTTAATGCTTTCCGCTCAGTGATGTGTCTTTTCACAAGTGATGTGTCTGCATGTGCAACCTTAGCTGGATGAGGGTGTGTTCCTCCTCACCCTTTAACATTGGGGTTTCACAATGCAATTAGGGGTGTAAGAAGGCAGCAATTTCTCTTCTGTCTGGCATTTGTCACAATCAGCAGTGTTTTCATTCCACCGCAGTTCAGTTTCTGCCAAACACTGCCTTGTTTGTCTCACTGTCCACTGTTTACCATAAGTTACATAATTTATGTAATTATTTTTCTAACTTACATAACTTACATTCATTCCAATGATGAAGGATGCCTCAAAACCATGTTTTTAATTAAGAAATTAACTATGTATCATTTGTGAACTGAAAAAGAGCAAGTGAATACCAACTGTATTTGCTTGACTAATTTTCATTCGCGACCACAAATGTGCAAATTTCAGCAACTTTCAATCCCCCCCCATCAGAATTCTCCAGCATCCCTACATGTGATGGCATCAATCAGCTGTTCTGACATGAAGTATGGAAGCTGTGGGATCATTTCTTCTCAACACCCTGCAAGTCACTGCTCATCAATGCATCTCTTCCTTCTCCCCCCACCCCAACACACAGCCTTCCAGCAGCTATGCAGGCTTAACATTTAATCTGGGCCATTCTATTTAGCAGACCAATGTGCTTTTGTCTTTGAAGGACTGTCCCAGTACAATGCAATACAGATCTAACTATTTCGATTAGGACTATTACCATTGAGTTGAAATCACAGGGTGCTTCTCTTGGAAATCCACATAACCTTTTTTAAAAAACATCATCCTTTCTGTTTTTACCAGTCAAGTTGTTACAAAGAGTTCAGGCCATCGCACCAAAGAAATATAGACACAATTTCTTTCAGAATTGAAGCAGGCGCTTTTCCTATCATGAAACTAAGTTCCTACTTGACTACTGATTTCTGATTTCAATAATTTACTTTTTTTGCTCCTGCATTGTCCAGTGATGGATCTCATAATAGGCTTTCATACTTGTAGAATGGTACCATAAGTGCACTTCAGAGAGATTCTAGCATACTTTGAGAAATCCAGCAAAATTTGATTAAGTGCCTAAGAAACCTTGCTTTTGGATGTCTTTAGCTTTAGCTGAGAGCCAGTGTGGTGTAGTGGTTAAGAGCGGTAGTCTCGTAATCTGGGGAACTGGGTTCGTGTCTCTGCTCCTCCACACGCAGCTGCTGGGTGACCTTGGGCTAGTCACACTTCTCTGAAGTCTCTCAGCCCCACTCACCTCACAGAGTGTTTGTTGTGGGGGAGGAAGGGAAAGGAGATTGTGAGCCGCTTTGAGACTCCTTCGGGTAGTGATAAAGCAGGATATCAAATCCAAACTCTTCTTCTTCTTCTTTTAGAGTGAGCAGGTATGAGGTCCTACTGCTGAGTCCACTTTGGTTCATTGTAAACCAAACAGTGATTTCATCTTGGGTCATAGATTTCCTGTAGAGGGGCAGGAGGGGAGCCTTGACAGCACACTGTGAAAAAAATGTACAGCATCTCTACAAACACATCACACATGTCTTGCTCACACAACCCTGATACTGTGGTGGTCCATATCACACACTTAAGAAGCTGTGTTCTCTGAAATAATCATTATGTCACAGCGTTACGAGTACTCTAATTCAAAATAAGCCTGCTCCTCCATCTAGCCACTTCAGCAATTTTGCTAAAAATAGGTTTCACTTTGGCTACTGTCAGTCCTTTACATGTATATCAATGGCACATTTGTTAGGAGAAGCCACTTGAAACTTGAAGAGCTGGGAAATCAAACATTTCCATGTGATTCCCCCTGATTCTCGCCATTTGCAACAATATGTTCGTGGGTTTCAATTATCCTGACAAACCTCACAGGCAAGAGAGTTCCTCTAGTGGTCTCTTGGCTAATCCTTCTGTAGCTTTCAAAATGAAAAGTCTGGAATCAGGCAGATAGGCGGGCCTAACATAATGATGCTGGATGGAGGAACTGACTTTTTTGAGCAGATTAAAGAGTCACCTAGTCTACGGCAGTTTATTATCTGGTGTCTGTCTGTGGTTGTTTCTGTGATTCACAGAAAGCAGACAAGTTTGAACTCTGCCTCTTTGTGAAGAGAATTTCCTTCCCTCTCTTATCTTCTCTGTTTATGACCAGAGGTACAGTGATTGGTAGCTGGTCACATTTCATCTAGTTAGTAATGTAATTGCTGATTATTTTCTCTTATACATATACAGATATCTAAGTGTTATGAGGAAGTGGGTACAGACACATACAAGTTTCTTGCTGTACTGCGTTCAGGGATTAATGATAAACCACACAGGAAAGTACCTCAATGTGGATCATGTGGAACATAAGATTTTTAACCAAGGCCATAACTGGAGTTGGTTTCTTCAATAGTGGCAACTGGTCTCCCTCGACTTCCTTTTCACCACACAGGGTCTTCTGAAAGAAAATAAAGCAAAAATAAATAAATTTGCTTGGAGTAAAATCACAAGACAGGGCTGCTTGTTATCACCATTGTTAATGACCATATACAACCCTGAAAAGGGATTGCAAAAAGTTTAACAGAATTGACTAAAAGAAGGATAAGAATCAAATATGCAAAAGAGATTGCAATAACAGCTACCCTTGATAATGTATTTACTCACGATAAAGACTCGCTCTTAGAAATGTTACTTGTTTTCAGCCTCTTTGGTGATTTCAATTGATCTTCAAAGATTAAGTTAAAGAAATTAGAAATTCTAGACATAACTACTCTGTCAGTAATAAGGAATCCGTGGAGAGATTCAGGAATCCAGTACTTTGACATCAGCATTTTGAAAATATAACTGCTACCTATAAATAGAATTATGGGTTTCTGGTCAAGATTATCTGGAAACAGCATGCAGAATAGAGCATTTTAAAGCTCTCCTGTTTAGAGAGGTTACTGGCAATTAGAATGATGATTCTGCCAAATGTTTTTTAATCTATTGATTAAGCAAAATGAAAGCAAAAATACATCAATAGATTTCTAGAGGTTGGAAATATCCATTTAAAACTATACCTCAATCAAGATAAAAAGAGCATATGGGTTTTCCATAGCATAATATGACGCAATGAAATTAGCAGTCACCTGGGAATGCTTTAGACTAGCCAAACAAATCTTTCGTTGTTCAAGACGACAGATAGGGGTGGTTGTTTTATTTTTATAAATCAGTAAGCTCAACCAATTATGCTATTTAGGAGAAGTTGGATATTGTATAGATCAAAATAAAAATCTAGCTTCTTAATACAAACCATAGCTTTGTTAATAAAGAAAAGAAAAGAAAGAAAAGAAAAGAAGTAGTGAAGGAGGAGAAGGAAATAATAGACTTGCATTTCTGGAAGATACACACATTTGTTAAAAATATAATATTGGAAGGGTTGAAAATTAATGATCTGATGCTCTCATCTCAAGACCCGGCAGTCTTACCATATTGATTTCTGAATATTGGTATTTGAACAATTAGGGACCAAATCCAATGCTGAGAAATATATGTTACAACCAGATATAACATGAATTATTCAATTGTTATGTAACACAAATATGGAATTGAATTCCTTGGCAATACAAAGATCTAGATATTTGTATTGCAAAATCTTTCTGCAAGAATTGAAAACATTTGTTCCCAAAATTGCCAGATAAGGAGAATCCCAGGAAAAATCCTTGGAAAATGCAAGAGGTTCAAGCCCTTCATCCTCTGTGCCAAAAGTGCACAAATCAACTGAGCACTTACTTTCTGTGGCTTTGGGCAAAGAAAGCCTAAAGGGGCAGACCTCATCAAAGAAATGGCAGACTAGGCATGCTCAGTGGCCATGGAACATGGTGAGTTGGGGGAAGGGAGAAGAATGCATTGGAATAGCCTGGAAGAGGGGAATGGTTGACTGCAATGCCTATCAGGATTACTCCCACTATCTTTGGTAGCAGATGCCGCTTTTAATCACCAAATGGTCAACTGAATCTTTCCAAGATGAGATTTGTCTACCACACAAAGTTCTCATATTGCTATATTGTAGGGGTGGGGAACCTCAGGCATGAGGGTAACATGTGGCCCTCCAAACCTCTTCATTTGTCCCCTGGGAATCTCCCTAGGTCACACTCTGTCCCCAGTTATGCCTCTTAGGAGCCCTGCTTTGCACCCCCTATAATGTGTCATTGAATTCTGATAATGTTTCTGGCTTGCCTGGTTGAAGAATGGACGTGTGTGTGTGTGTGTGTAGAAACCAGCCTACTGCACTGAGGTAAATGTTACATTCACTACTCCACTCACTTTTGCTCTTGACCACACCCAGAGCTGGCCTGGGGCTCCCGGGTGGCCGTTCAGAAGGTAGTACAGCCCTCAGACTGAAAAGGATCCTTCATATTACCTTCAGAACAATCATGTCGGAAGCCTAGACTACTCATTTTCTTAACAGAAGATTAATGCAAAAGCTGAAAATGCAATATGTTTCATGTTCTTTAATTGCATTGTTCCTTATTGCACCTCAGTACTGGGCATTTTTAATGCCAGCTGTAATTCACACATTGGAGTGGCATTGAGTGGAAGCATTTCCCTCCTTCTCTCAGACTAATGGAATCTCTGCCTACATATTTCTTCCCACCTACGAAGGTCATCAAATGTTTTTGTGCCAAGCATTAGAATTGATGCCATCATAATGAACTCTGAAAACATTGTCCTGACAAAGCAAACAGAACATGTTGAGATCCTTGATCTCAACATCAAACAAAGTGCGAGGGGGGTCCCAGAGAAGCCATCCATCCAAGATCAACCGGTTCTCCTGTGCACAAGGATGTTCAGTCCAGAATGCAGAGATGTCCAGGCAGCAAGGTTATGTTCAGCTTAAATAAATGAGATGACGGAATGGCCAGATTACAAATGTGAAGATCTTGACTGCTGCTATTTGTGGCAATCCATAGATGACAATCTGAGGACCATTTCTCATGGGATATTTATGCTGTCTTTGAGCACAATCCCCCCTCCCTCCCATGGACTTGAATTAAAATCAGTGGATCTTTGATGGCAGTTGTGTGATTGTGAATACAAATGTAAACATTGGCTTTCAATCACCTCTTTCCTCAGCAAAATGCATAAAAGTGAAAGGGTGAGTACTTTCTCATCACCACATATGCCTTTTGCTCGGACAGCGATTTAAGCATAGAGGTAACTCATAATTTATGCCTTTCATAACAAAACTACTCGTAACGTGTATTTGGATATCCATGAAAATTGTACCCATGTATCCATGATATAGAGCACATAGATAAAACTATGAAATTCTCTGTCAAAAGGTGTAGTTATGGTCAATAACTTAGATGCCTGAAAAAGAGGAGTAGACAAATTCATGGAGGATAAGGCTGTGTTCTACCTCCTGTGTTCTACCTCCTGTGTTCTATGAGCTTCCCAGAATCACAAATGGGAGAGTGCTGCCGTATTCAGGTTCTGCATGGGGGCTTCCCGTAAGTATCTGATTAGCTACTGTGAGAACAGGATGCTGGTCTAGGTAGACCTTTGGTCTGATCCAGCAGGTTATTCTTATGTTGTCTGTTGAACAGTGAATCTGCACAAGCTAGGCTTGCCCTGAGCTTAGCCTGTGCCTAATTAGGTACCTTACTTGTCTATATAGATGCTGGGGAGAAAGTGTTGCTAGCACGGGCTTACGCAAGCAGCCTTGTGAGTTAATGATGGGGTGAAGCTGCGGTTTGAGAGTCACATTTATTCTCACAGGAAATGAACAACGTTGGGGGGTCCTAGGCTGCCGAGCCCAGGAAACCATTGGTGGTTCAAGGTAAGAAGTTCGGTCACATCTCGTCTGGTTGGTAATGATTACATCTTCTCTCTGATAGAAAGACAGGCCAATCAAACCTCACCCCTGCAGAGTTGGAAGGAAGGGGACACGGGGACATGCAACATGTGTGAAAGCAGCGGAACCTGTCTGGAGGGTGGGGATGAGGCAGGTGGAGACATAAAGATATTTATGAAACATATTGCAGTGTTGTTTATATACAGTCGTACCTTGGTTTTTGAACAGCTTAGTTCTCAAACGTTTTGGCTCCCAAACACCTCAAACTCGGAAGTGACTGTTCTGGTTTACAAACTATTTTTGGAAGCTGAACATCCAACGGGGTTTCTGCAGCTTCCGATTGCAGCCAATCAGAAGCCTTGCTTTGGTTTCCAAATGTTTTGGAAGTTGAACGGACTTCCAGAATGGATTCTGGTCGGCTTCCAAGGTACAACTGTACTACCATCCTAGGGATAAATACATATTCTTCTCCATCCAAATAGGGCTGCTGCTGCCCAGTCTACAGAAGCCTTCACTCTATTAAAGCCCTATATGACGTAGGACCCTCGTACCTATGGGGCCGCCTCTCCTGGTATGTCCCACAGAGGACCTTATGGTCTTCAAATAAAAACATCTTGGAGATCCCGGGCCACAGGGAGGTTAGGCTGGCCTTAGCCAGAGCCAGGGCTTTTTCAGCCGTGGCCCCAATCTGGTGGAATGCTCTGTCACAAGAGACCTTGGCCCTGCGGGACTTGACATCTTTCCGCAGGACCTGCAAGACAGAGCTGTTCCACCACGCCTTTGGCCATGGCACAGTTTGACCCCCTCCTTCGGTAATCCTCATAGAACTCTAGCCCAATGGTTGCCATTAATTTGATTCTGAATTGATTTTAGAATGAATTGATTTTAGAATGTATTTCAATTAATTGATTGTGATTTTATGTAAACGGTGTTACTTTTACTGTTGTTAGCTGCTCTGAGCCCGGCTTCGGCTAGGGAGGGTGGGATATAAATAAATTATTGTTATTGTTATTGTTATTGCTATTGCTATTGCTATTGTTGTTATTATCATTATCATTATTATAGCTCTCCCCATCTTTCAGTACAGCAGTATTGTAAATTGTATCTTTTCATAAGCCATGAACCACAGGAGGGTCTTGAAGATCCTTGTGGATGTGATGGTCTTTAGCGTGGCCATGAAATCGTGGTATACGACAATTAAGCTTTCTTTGGCAAGAAGTCTGCAAGAAGTTGGTAGATTAGGTCAAGAGCCTTGCATGCAGTCTTGTCAAGTCCTGAGTCAGAAGACCACCATGAAAAAACATCCCCATCTCCTATAGCCATTTTGAACTGCATTGAAAGTCCCCTCACATTGAGCTCATCACACCACTCACCCTCTGGGTTTATGGTTGGCTTGGAGCTGGCATGGATTGCCAGCTCTATGAATAAATTGCACACATCCTGGTCATGTACAGAATATTGCTATTGTGCCTTTGGGGCCTCTTGAAGCTTCACTTTGCATGCTCTGGCACAGTGATTTCTGATGCCATGCAAATCTTTCCATATGCTTGACAGCTCCTCCGGGGGCGTTTCCTTTTATGGCATTGACAGATTTTCCTTGGGCCCAATTTGCCTGTGTATTTGGGGATTGTTTTGCCTGTCTTTACATTTCTCTTGCTCATTTTGTCCACGTCACGAGCTAATTGCACAAACAAATGCAGATCTCTGTGCTCAGTACTGGTCCCTAGAATGAGTTGAACCTGGGAGCTTTTCCTTTTGCTGCACAGTAAACGACAGTGTATGAGATTCGACATATGTAATTGCAAAATGATGCACATCAAAAGAAAGGGGGGAAAGGACGGGTCTTTAGAAATATGCCAGTGGCATCTAAACTGGCTGTTATGAATGACTCTGGGGGGTGATTCTTAGAGTGATCGTGTTAGAACATATTCACTGATATCATTGAAAAAAAAAGATCAAATCCAGGGTTGGAAAACTTTAGGGTAGTGGCCATAGCTTCCCTTTTTTTGCGGGAAATTTCCTTATTCCAGCGCTGTTTCCCACTGCTTCCTGCTGCTATCCCGGATTGTTAGATATCCTGTAGACTGTCCCTGGGACAGGTGAGGCTGCTGATCCCTTATTTTCAAATCTGGAAGTTGACAGCTATGGTAGTGGCTGAAAATAAAACAGCAGGTCTCCTATTGCCATGATATTCATTTCTCTTTCCATCTTATATAAAATGGCTCCCCCTTTAAGCCAGGAGCCGCTCAACCCTGACTCAGGGGCTGAGCTGACCGCAAGAAAAATTTTCTGGCCTCCTAACCTGCCCTCCTTTTTTTCTGGCCCCAAGCCTCCACCAGTTTAGGGAGTAGTAGCAAAAAATGAAAAAAACATAGACTGGTTGGGAGAAAGGCAGGAAGGTTTAAACTTCTATACCCAGCAGCCTTATAAGGACTTTTAGACACGCCCACCACTGGCACATGGGCCCTGAAGTGTTGGGCAAGGGTGAATGTGGTTAGCCACCTCTGCTTAAGAATTATGAGTTTACCCACAAATAGAAGGGCAACTTATTTTTATAGTTCTTTGAGAAACAAAATAATAATTACAGTAATAATACATAATGTGTCACTAGATTAAAGAAAACAAGGGGCTTTACTGTAGCTTTGCATCAGAATTAACTCCAAGAAGGGAGGAATCACTCATGTTCCAGCCTCTGCCACTTTTGTATGTGTGATATTCATATTTATATACTGACATTCCATTTCCACATTGAATCTGTAATATTTTTTTTTAAAAAAATCAATGTTTAAATACAAACACGCTTTTCAATATGCATTTCTAAATGGATTTTCACATAGAATAAACATTTATAAATGCACTTCCTCTCAAAACACGCATTTTAAAACAGAGCTTGGTTTTTATTTTTTTAATTTGAGAACTGTGTTGCGCTGTTTGGAGAAGTCTGAAATTCAATAGATTCACCCCAATCTGCACCTTAGTCCACAAGATGCAGAATAAGGTCAATTTCCATCCAAATTCACAAAGATTGGATTCCTTGGGCATCATGGCCTGCAAGTTCCCCCTTTTCAGACGTTCAGCTAGAGAAGGGGTGGCCCACATTTATAGGCCTGAGGGGCACCCCTCCCCATTACAACATCCATCTGGGGGCCACATGCCTGTGAAAGAATGATTCATTTTGCTAACATGCTCTGTGAGGAAATGTGCTTCATGGTGTCAGCTGCCCCAGCACTATTCATTCTAGGAGCAGATTTGGACTGAGCAATTCAGGTGCTGACGTATTGTTGGTGCTGACCTTTAAAGCCCTAAACGGCCTCAGCCCATATACCTGAAAGAGCATCTCCACCCCCATCATTCAGCCTGGACACTGAGGTCCAGCACTGAGGGCCTTCTGGCAGTTCCCCCACTGCGAGAAGCCAAGTTACAGGGAACCAGGCAGAGGGTCTTCTCGGTAGTGGCGCCCACCCTGTGGAACACCCTCCCATCAGATGTCAAGGAAATAAACTACTATCTGACTTTTTGAAGACATCTGAAGGCAGCCCTGTTTCGGGAAGTTTTTCATGTTTGCTGTTTTGTAGCTTTAT